TTTTGAAAGGTTATTTTTGCTAGCGAAACCCCAGGGGCCGGCCACGGTTATCTCTTGCAAAATCGGCGCCCGGATGAGCGCGTTCTGAGAAACACGACACGAGCAGGGCTGCAACCGCAGCCTCCGCGCGGAGCAGGGCCGCGGCCGCGCTCGGCGTCGTAGAGGGGCTCCCACGAGCGGCCTCCGAGCTGCTTTGCATGGGGGGGCGTTAATTAAACGATAAAAAAGGGAGCTGTGGGCAGAGGTTTGGGAATGAGCCACTTATTTATAAGCGAATGGGCTTTAATGCAAGGATGAACAACTCCAGGTAGGAAAACAAAAGCAACGTTTGTTGGGTTTGAGTATTTGTTTCTATTTGAAATCTATGAGAGCTCTTTTCAAATGCGCTCTGTTTTGGAAAGCTATGGAAACGCTTCCCAGAAAACAGGAGTCGGTGCAAGGGCCGGGAGCACAGGGCCAGGAGCCGTGCCAGGCCCCTGTGCATTGCTCCATATTCCAGCGCTCCCGACGCCGCTTCCCAACCCCTGTGCTGGCCACAGCCGGGTTTATGAGCAAACACCTCACCCAAGAGGGCCGGTAACGGTGGAAAATCAAAGCTCAAGTTGTTGAAACGAGCAGAGAGGAAGCGAGCGCTGCTGCCAGGATGTGCAAGCAGCGCTGCTGGCAACGTGGGCAGAGCCTGAGGGAGCAGGACACACTGTTTCAAGGTGAAATACAACTGTGTGGGCACCCCATGAGCAGCATCAACAGTGTCTCCCTGGCCGTGGAAACCCCCCGATGTGACCCCCTCAGCTTTCCCATTTTGCCCCATTTTTAAGGTTTTTCCTTCCATAAATGAAGAGAAGCCATTGGCGGAGCTCATGCAGGCCCTGGGCTGTCAGATACCGCAACAAAAATAATCTCCTGGGCCAGCTAAGGGGGTTCCGCTTTCTGCTGAGACGTGGGGAAAGGCAGCACCCGCCGCCAGCGCGGAAGGGAAGGACGGAGGGGGACAGGCAGCAGCACAGGCAGGTGACACCTTCTGCACACACTCAATTCGGAAACTGCTGTCAATGCAACCGAATCCAGGACAATTCAAAGGGCACACGGAGCTGCTTTAATTGGTAGCTGGTAGCTGAGTGTTACCCCAGGGAAACATCACCCCCAACGCTGCCACCTCAGAGCGCAGCTCCGGGGAAGAGGCAGCTCTGCTCCCACCTCCACAACACGGCACTTTGGGGCTTGTCCTGCTGTTGGGGCAGGACGGAGCCTTCAGGAAGGGCATTTGCTCCTTTTTGGGTGCACGGGTTCCGTGTGGGTGGCAGCTGCTGCAGCATTCGTGCATTTTCACTGCCCTCTAGCGCCCGTCCCTGCCTCCCCTGGCAGGAATGTCACAGAGAGGAGGGACAGAGACCAGGAGAGGGAGCAGGTCCCAGGCTGCGAAATGAAACCCTGGGCACAGCTGTGGTTTGCAGACACATGAACTGCTCTGCATTCGTACACTGCATTGATACATGAATTGACCTGCAGTTCTTACATAAACATTAAGACCAAGGCAACATTTCCCATTAAACTCTGCAAAACATTAGGTATAACTACCAAAACATCTTCCAAAGGTGCAGCCATTCCAGCACTGGAACATCCGGATTTTCACTTCTGAGAGAAGCCACTAAAGTTCTTTACAGTTAAGCAGTCTCCTTCACCCAAACATTTCAAAAAAAAAATAGTCAGGACAGGATACAGGCTGCTCAAATACCCACATTCCAGTCACTTAAGCACTACCAGAGTGTCTTAACACACACGGAACGGTGACACATTGTGCGTGAGTTGTGCGTATCTTACAGCTTCATTGAGTAGTGCACAGGATCTAACAGCTAGAGGAATTGCACTGCAAAATTAAGAGCAATGAGAACAAGCTCTACAGTCCGTTCAGGCATTGGTTGTCTTCTCTGACTCTTCTTTCTTTGGATCCTGCTTCAACTTGTAATCAGCCAAGGCAGCCTTGATTGCATCTTCAGCCAACACTACAAAGGAAACAAAATCAAGTGGTACATTAACGTTTCAAAGATGGCATGAAAAGGCTTTTAGAACAGAATACACAGTATGAGCAGCAGTGGTAGCATAAGAGTTTGAGAAAAGAGTCAGTATTTTAGAAGTAAAAAGCCAGAACTCAAACATGTTATTATCACTTGTCTTCTGACCTACACAGAATCCAAAAGATGATAAAGATGTGGAAACTCTTAATGCTACTCCAAAGCCTGAATATAAGGGACCTTCTCTTTCAGGCCAGCCTTGGTCATTCCACACACAGGTATTTTATTTGGGTAATAACATTTGGAAGCACCTGTGTCATTAACAGAAGCCTTATTCATACAGTTTAGTCCTTTACTTACTAGAGCAGTGCAGTTTGACTGGAGGAAGGCAGAGTTCTTTAGCGATGTCTGTGTTCCTGATCTTCAAAGCTTCATCAACCTGAAAAACACAGCTCGCACAAGGTCACTGGTGAGCTCACGTACAACACAGGCTCCAAACACATTCGGCAGAATATTAGTATAAACCTAATGGAATTGGCATGGCAGAATCCCTCACGTGCCCCTAGCAGTACAGGATGCTGGACAACACGCTAAGGCAACAAAGCCCCTCAGTGGCTACCCCATCTCCCTCTGTGCCTGCCATGCAACAAGTTTAAGGAACATCTTAAGTTGAGTAGTAGCATCAATTAATCAAAACACGCCAGTGTTAGGGACTGAGTAGGACTGTAAGGAACTGCTCCAAAAGTCTTTACGTTTTCCCACAATACAGAAACACAAGCTTGGTTAAACTTGCACAAAAAGGAGACAAGAAATCTGAAAACATTGTTAGTTTTTTCTCTCAGATGCCACAATCAACATGTGTTTTCCTGCTGCATAACCCACAAAGCGTTTCCCTGCGGATCAGCACAGGTTCCTGGAAGCGACAGCTCCGGCCCCAGGAGCCAGGTCGCTGCAGGGCCAAAGTTCTCAGTCGCTGCTTTCCAAGCTACGGCGCCACACGGCACAATCCGCACGCGGCGCTTCCTGGGCCTCTGCTCCCTACTCGTCCCCACGGGGAGAAGCCTGGGAACTTCGGACACTCGTGGCGTTGCCACCTCTGCAGGGACCTCTTACCGTTTTTCCTTTGACCCACTCGGTCGCCAGCGAGCTGGACGCGATGGCCGAGCCGCAGCCAAACGTCTTGAAGCGGGCGTCGATGATCTTCCCGTTCTCGTCCACTTCCACCTGCGGGAGCGGCAGCGTCCGGCCAAGAGTCCCCAAAACACCCTCGGGAGCAGGGTGGGGGGTCGGGAAGCACCTGGCTACGTCCCCGCGAGTGGGGACAAGGCCCTGGGGAGGGGAAAGGGGGACCAGGGCGCGGAGGGAGGGACACACAGCAGGCCAGGCCACAGCCGCGGTGCCCCAAGGCCACACGTGAGCGCGGGGTGATCCTCGCCCAATGACACCCCCGGTTACCTGCAGCTTCATGACGTCGCCACAGGCGGGGGGGCC